CCCCCCCCCCCCCCCCCCCCCCCCGACCTAAGGATTGCGGTCTCCAATCAAGCAACTAATACCAATCTAATACAAATCACAAATGAGAGTGCGCCCCCCGTACCTGTTTTTTTGTGGACAGACTCTTTACGGAGTTCTGGAAAAGGAAGCAGGCCAGGTGTGCTATGCGCTGGGGGATGTCTGGCTTCGAGGAGCAGGAGCAGACAAGGCCGCAGTACAAGGGCATCAGGTTTGTCTTTTTTGTTGGATCTGCCTCCCAGTAGCTTACATGCATCGCAGGGCATATTGTATGCCAGAATGAGTCAGGTATTACTGAGCATCGTTGTCCTTGTCTATGGTAACGGGGCATCGGGGTATCAGGCGAAACGTACTTCTTGCTTCATGCGTGTGGGATTAGATGGACAGGGCATCAGCAGGATATCAGCATGCAACACAACCGTCCGGCTTGATCATTCGAGAAGGTGAAAGGGCACGATCGAAGATAGATCATTTCATCGGTATCGCTTATTCTGCAATGAACGTGTACCACCGAATTCAGGCGTACGTGCGGGTCCCCCGCTACTATTGTAGTAGCCCTTCGACAACATCAAAGCCATTCTTCACGTTCGATCACGGTGCACAAGACCAAGCTCTGTCTACCGGTTGTAGTGAAGGTTTGGGCAATCCCCTAGCAACTGCTGTCTCCCATCGATATATGATTGGCCACCTCCCGTGCAGATCCAGCTCGACTATTGACGGAAAACCGATGGACTACTTCCCGCCGTTGGAGAGCCGGAAGCGTTTCATCTTCAGCCAGACCGTCATCCTCGGCCTGATTCTCGTTGTCATAGCGGTCGTAGCGTCCATCTTCTGGCTCAAGTACTTCCTCACCCAGGCAAGCGTTTGTCAATCACGCCTCTACCTAAGGCGTGTTACAGGCCACGGCTGATGTGTGTGTTCGGCTGCGATTCTTGGCGATGTATCAAGGGAAACATCATCAGCGAGAGGGTAGTATCGGGTTAGGGAGCGACACAAAAATCAATTGGGTATTGTACTATGAATGATGGCGTGGAAATTATTCCCCGAGATTCATACGCGTCTTTTCCACCACAGGAGCAAGTCGTCGCTCGCTATCTTTGCATCTATCTACCGGAACACAACACATTTGATTCAATTCCACATAGGAGGGCATCATTTTTCTAATCTCCTTCGTTGGGCCCTGTTGCCTCGCCGCCTGTCCGTTGACTTCCTTCCTTCGTTGTGGACGAAAAATTCGAAAATTAACAGCCGGCTCAGTCGTCGGCGCTAGACGTGTGGGGGATATCCTTCGCGACGATCATTCCCCCCCTGGCCAACGCGGTCCAGATCCAAGTCATGAACGCCTTCTACGGCACGGTGGCCATCAAGCTCACAGACCTGGTGCGTGCACACAACCGCATGTATGTACCATATGTGCACGAGGGCGTCGGCACTTCGTTCAAAGTAGGTGCATCCTTCACACGTAAATAGTTTTCACACGAACATAGCCAGCACATGATAAATCTACAGTACTGGCAGTAATTCGAACAGGAATCTACTCTTCTATTGTCGACCAGCTTTGGTTCCCCGGTTGGCAACTGCTTCACGCAAAAACAACGATAAATATATGATATGTCTCTGTGGTTGTTATTCAAGGAATAAAATTGTTCGTTGGCACTCTTGTATACATGTACGTTTCACCTGCAATAGAACCGCACGCGCGTGGTCTCTTGTTTGTTTCCAACAATCGGCGATATTTTTTGTTCGTAGGAAAACCACCGCACAGACACGGAGTATGAGGACAACTTGATCGCGAAAACCTTCATGTTCCAGTTCGTCAACTCCTACGCGTCCCTGGTGTACATCGCCTTCATCAAGGAGTTCATTGGTAGTCCGTAAGTACGCAGATCATGGTCGTTTACTAACCTGGTATGGTTTAAGGGCAACATGGAGTCATACGGTACTTGGCACGGGAGGACATGTTTTGATACTTCGTGCGTGAGACGAACCTCAAAGCACAACCAACCACTCCATCCAGCAACGCTGAAACGCCGGTCGTTGAAATAATACTACGTTGAAAATCGGTCTTGAAAAAGGCACAGGAACGAAGATATCAAGGTCCACAACGCCGTTGCGTTGTGGCAATCACCAAGTGCACCCAAGGGCAACTATCTATATCTCCACCAGGTGCTTCTTCACGGGGTGCTCGCACTCAACACCTATGCAGGTGCCTGGTATCTTGTATGAACGAGCTGAGCACAAACCTGAGCACGGTGTTCCTGGCTAGGCTGGCCGTCGGGAACTTATCCGAAGTAATTCTTCCAATTCTCAAGGTAAGTGCTGTTGGTGCAGTACGGTGAAGGCTCTTGCGCTCTTACGCTCTTAGGCTCTTACAAATGTGCGGTTGTGAAGGCATGCCCACGGCAGCCTGCGTCATATCCTTGATGGCCGTCATGCTTTGCAGTGCAAATTACTGATTTTCCGCTGCAACCTTCGTGTGCGTCATGCATCGCCAGGGGGTACACAGCGATTCATTTCTTTAGAAAAAGGATGCGCTTATTTTCATTTTTTTTCCATGACCTGCAGTCGAGGAAGGGACACTGTTGTCTACTGTTGTCTACACAATGGGTTCCGGTGGCTTGGAATCCCGATCAAAGAAGCGATGGGGCGGTAGTCTCATGATGCGAGCAAATCTACACCCTTTTTGTCATTTCCCTTTCGATAGAGTCACCGAATGGAGTTTTTTTTTCTTTCCCTGTGTCCGGCTAGCGGCACCGGGCGTTTTCGTCTCGTGCCCTATGCGTCGTGAAACTCGACGGCATGGAACAAAATATTGAAAAAAAACGCGAGATACTCATACCCGTTTCGTTGAATCATGACCATATTCCATCAATAGTCACTCTCTTCACAAACACGATCGATGTTGGACGTTCATGCTTCGGGGGTTGTGTTGCTGTGTGTAATGCCGGGCAGGCACGAAGAAGACAGAGGGAGGAAACGATGGGGTCAGACCCAGAGAGGACATTCAGCGGGCCGGAGCGGGAGTACATCAAGGAGACCTACGACGTCATGCTCGGTACCTTCAAGGACTACGCCGAGATGATCATTCAGGTATTGTTTATGGTACGGCGTTGGAGGTTCGTTGCCCCGCGTGAATGTCACTGACTGCTATGTCTAGGACTACTGTATACTGGGATTACCCTCTCAACATTGTACATACGGTAGGTCTTCGACTGGCGCGCGCGCTGCCACCTGAATCTCGGGAGAAGGACGGAATAGTCCCATGTGTACGATATCTCGACACGAGAAAACATCGGGAATGCTCCCGTAGTTCGTGTCGCGACTGTGCCGCGGCTGTTGATGTTTTGGGGAAGAGGTTCGTACGGATCGCGAGGTTCTTATAAGGGATGCTAACTCGGCAGTTTGTCCCCACGATGATGTGGTTCAAGTGGAACACGCGCGAGGGGTTACAACGGTTACAGCGTCTTCTTGCTTTCGCTTTTCTTGCGATGTCCGGCCGTCTAACGTCTTTCCGCAAAAAATAGTTCGGCTACGCGACCCTTTTTGTTGCGGCGTACCCTCTGTCGTGCCTCATGGCCTTGGTCAACAACTACATCGAGATTAGAATCGACGCGTGGAAGCTCTGCCAGGTATGTACGACTTCTTCCCTTTGGCATGCAGACCCATCCCATCAATGCTTGCAAGGTCAAAATTCCCTCGTTTCATTGACTTTGCACCAAGTCTGCTAGACTGTAATCCGATCAAGATGACGCCCCTAAAACGTCAACAGCGATTTTTCGGTACGGCATCCCATGCTTCTCGCACTTCACATATGGTCCACCAACCGCCTCCCTATACTGTGTGTTCTCAATGTCGCACGCTCTTGCCACTTATATCTTGTGCTACGAACATGCAGGTGTCTCGAAGGCCGGAGCCACGAGGGGCCGAGGACATTGGCACGTGGTACACCATCCTCACCATCATGTCCTCGATGGCGGTCGTGAGCAATAGCGCGATAGTCGCCTTTACCAGCGAGATCTTCCAAGACCAGACGTGGACGACGCGGGTAAGCACAAGACACGCAGCCATCTAAACGCAGAGAAAGATAGACGTAGGGCGACAGGAAGAGACACACTCGAAAACAAAGAGCAACGGAAGCTGCACTAGGAGACGGGCAGGAGGCAGAGACACTGAGGGCGTGTTGGGGAGAAACGACTTGAGCGTATACACTACCGGTAGGTTACTTCAAATATTGAGAGACCAGTGGGGAGGGGCGTTAGTGCAGAACGTCGATGTAGTCAACCCCGGAGGTCGAGCGATCTGTGGAAGGAGGGAAGTTAACAGGGCCAGAGAGCCACATTGGTTCGTGCGGTTGAGGACGAGAAACGTTCTGTGCGTGGGTATTGCACGCCAGAGAGAGCGAGTGAGGGNGGGGGGGGGGGGGGGGGGGGGGGGGGGGGGGGGGGGGGGGAGAGAGAGAAGGCCTCCAAAGATTCTTGTGAGTACGAAGGAGTCGAAGACAACAGGGTCGGGGGTAAACACGTGAGGAAATGTTGTAAAGAATCAGCTCCTCTTTGTAGCGAACCACGACTACACACACCACTCCCACCGCCCGCAGCTACGGCCTCTCCGAAGGAATTACAAGGACGACAGCAGTTGCTGGAGACCGACTCGAAACGTTAGTGCCCATCGCTGTTGTTCGGGTACTGCCACACCAGGCTGTGTCTTCACAGCTCGTGTGTCCCTGAACAAACGAGCAAACGAGCAGCAGTGGCTCTCCGAAGGTTTGAGGTCTTGGGATTTCTCGGAACAAAGCCGATGGTTCGTCACGGGTAGGTAAAGTGAGATGACGATTGAATCTCCCTCGACCCTGCGATCCAATGATACCAATGTACAGGTGTGGATTTTTCTCGGTATTGAGCACGGCATGCTGCTGTTTAAGTACTTGCTGGAAACGCTCATCAACGACACCCCCGCGGACGTGGGCATTCAGCTAAAGCGAAACGAATTCATCGTTTCCAAGGTAGGAGAGGCAAGGTCAACCCGACCGTAATCATAGGGTACCGCAGTGTGTTGTGGCACTGCTGCCATGGGTTTGATACCTCTCGTCCGACACCGCGAGATTAGAGTCACGTCGTGTCCACGAACGCTCGACTTGACTCTCTTTCATATTTTCTCTTGTTTGGCCAGGTTGTGCACAACATGCCAGACGACGACGACGAAGAGGCAGTAAGGGCGGGCATGCCTACGCTCTCGGATCACACGATCCTCAGCTCCGATGACTGAACGATACGTCGCTCGCGCGGCAGAACTAACTACTGGTCGACCGGTTGGCTCGTGGAAGGACCAAGGACATGCAAAAACACTGAAGTGTTGGTTGCTTCAGTATACGTGTAATAGCCGGGTGCGACAAAACATGAATATGAGGAAACGTGTGTTGGTTGGCACCACAGCCATGCTTCCGTTCGGTACAATACTGTACAAAAAACGAAAGTGACAGTATCAGCACCCGTGATACTCAAGCTTTGGAGTCCTTCGCGCGCACACTAACAGTTATATTTACAACAGAGGTGGTCCAAGGAAAGTCGACAAAATTTGGGTCAAGATTTTCGTGTTGTGCCGTTTGGTGTGTTGACTAAGGCCGGTCGAGTGCCGTGTCATCAGGGTGCTCGTACGGGGGTCCGACGGGAGTCGCCAGGTGCCAGATACAACGCGTACGGTAGAAAAACACGTCCGACAATATGCTCTGTTGGTACCAAGCACCCACCACTGTACGCCTGCCCAGAGTGGTGAGAGTGACGAAAACCACTCAACAACATGTTTCCATTTCTTCCAACTAATGTTAATGTTCCTCTTGTGCACGTATGTAGCCATCCCGAAAACGATTATTCTCCACGTTCCGAATCCGCACAAGGACCATCATACACATTCGTTCGAGATGAAAACAAGCGTACGGTGGCAAGCGCGGAAGAGCAGAACCACGAGAGAAAAGGCCGCACACACATAGTAACCCGAATTTCGGCCAATTTTTTTCCTCCACCCTTCCCTGTGGTACACTCTTCACCTACTTAGGCTTTAGCGCCAATTGTCCTCGGACAACCTTTGCCGTGTAAATGTTTCCTATAATACGTCACCTTTTCTGTACCCGCGTCTCTTGGAGCACCTCAGGAGCCGCAAGTGCTCAAGGAGCCAAAGCATCGTTCGGTTACCAACAACTTTGCTCATTAGAACCTTCCGATCTTGAGGCCTGCGGACTTTCGTCAAGGTACTTAGTATACCTATCTTTTAATCAGTACCATCGCCTAACCCCCATTCACATCTCTCATGCGAACCCGCACCACCTGTAGACCAACGACAACGTTATATCCCTGTTGTCTATTGGCTACTCCACCCTGTCTTCAAACAAGACTGGTAGCAATATCGTCACATATTGTGATGCCCCGTGGTGCCGATAGGGAAAAGCTGAACATACATAGTACACCGCCGGGTAGCATTCACACACACACGTCCAGATTCTCTCCAAAAAGTCCCCTCAAACGCTCAACACACATAATCTCTTTGCACCTGTTCGCGTACACCAAGAGATGCGAATCAATGCGGTCGGACTTCAATTTTAACTAGGCGGCATATGATACACAGTATGGGACCTCATGGTCGAACAAGAGATGCAAAAAAGATTCGTGGACCTTTTGAACATTTCGGTCGAAAACTACACCACATACTTCAACCAGGTAGATACTTAGACCGAACTGCTAAAACACGAGGGAAAACTACAAAACAAACAACGCCGATTTTTGCACAAAAACAATTGAGCAAGAACGCTCTGCGCATCGTCTACTGCAGCATCCGGGAAAGACATGACGAAGAATCCCGCTTACCACCGTCGGCTATCACACACCGCCCCTCGACTGCTACAACGCCCTGCGCACGATTTCGTATCCCAAGAAGAGAGCCGCGTTCGCGGGAAAAGCACGGGCAAGAGCGGCGTTCAAGCCGATAAAGAGCGCTCGCCACCCCTTCGTACGGACGACCGTTTGCAAGGTCCGGAGCAAAGACTCGGGCTTGTCCGTCGTCTGAATGATAGACTTGACCGAGTCTAGCGGCATCACGGCCGCCCACCCAACCACCCCTGCCATGCCACCCGCCAAGAAGTACAACACCTCCGGGGTTACCTCGTACGGCAGCGCCTTCCCGCAGTCGACGAACGTCTCGTACGTTCCGAAGAACGCCGCGTAGAACGGTACGTCTCTGGCGAACTGGGCACCGAGCCCGACGTACAGGCCTCGTACTCCCTGCGTTCGCAAGATGTGCGCCGTCATCCGTGTCGCGTTGAGCACCGGCAGCCCCTTGGCCGCTGCACTGGCCGACACTACTACCCCCTGTCGCATTGACCGTCCGACCTGAACCTTGGACTTGATGACGTCGCTGGGGCAGACAACCACGGTGGTGAAGACGCCCGTCACGCCTCCGAACAGTATCGGCTGCCACCACGGGGCTGACGACCCGTCCTTGTCTGGGAAGACGCGCTTGAGTTGCTCGTTCACCCCGAAAGCTACCATGTTCTCCAGGACGGCGCCGCCCAGGGCCGGCGTCGACCCCTTCCACAGAGACGTGATGCTTTCCTCCGCTAGTGTCCTTCTCAGGCATTGGAACGTGCCACTGAAGGCGTCCGGACGAGCTTGCATTCGCACTTTGATGGTGTCTAGAGGCTGGTCGGCACGCGCGCGGGCAAGGCCAGGGGGGTGGGGGGCGTCGCTGAGCATCCGGCAGCAGTAGTTCCGCGCTCAATCACTACCAGCGGTACAAACGAGTTAATGAATTACACCACATACGATAACACAGGATGAACTGTTGTAGTGCAGAAAAACTCTCCGTCTGTTCAAATGATGTTTGTATACCTAACATCGCGCAGCTAAGAAATAGCTCTGATTCACGTTTTCTCAGCTTTTTTCGACCCGTGATTGCTCATCCAAGCAAGATTGGCCTTACGATTGTTCTCTCAACCTACATCGTAGCCGGCGCTGTACAGCAGTTCGTAGGTTGCGTTATGTAAGATAACACACCTTCTGTGCCGAAATTCAAGTTGTTCCACGAAGACGACTCAACGATACATGTTCGGAAAGCTCTCCACAAGGCAGTTCCAAAGCCGCCACTTCCGGTACTGCCACTCCTTCTGCTGTGGAGTAGTCGAGCTTCGGAAATCGGTCAAAGGGGTGTGATACCTTGTGTCATGCAACCTTTCGGTGTGTACATTTTCTATCGTAGTCGGCAGGCCTCGGTACTCGGCTCTCATCACCGGCAAGTCCGAAACAAATCATCTCGGCTGTTAGATATACTCGTAGCATAGTAAAGATGGTTGAATATGGGACATGGATCTATGGAGATTGCAATTGGTAGATTGCGGAGGAACAGAGAGTTTCTACTTGGTTTCTTCGGAGATTCGATGAGTGATCTGAATTGCTTGACGGATGACTTTCTCTTCGGGTCCTCGGACACAAGTGTTCTCTGCTCTCCCCTCTTCCCTCTAATACAAGATTTTCTCATCTCGGCCCTCACTGGCCGAGCTGCCTTTCTCCACAAACCTACAAGCTTCGGCCTACCCGGTTTACCCAACACGCTAGCGTTGAACAACTTTGTCCAGGGTGATTGAGTAAGAGCCAACCAGAGATTGGTAGCACCAATGGGCAGTCGCATGCGCGGCTGACGACACCCAACCAGACGAAGAGGCCACCAACGGCGAGGGCTGCACGCCAGCAGCACACCCAAGACCTACAGCAGCGCCATCGTCAGCTGCGCCTCGCCGTCTACTGGGGTTGTAGGCATGAACAGGCACGTGGTGACTTGTCAGTTTTGGACTGCTGTCGTTATGTGTACACCCACGCGGTGATGCGGCGCACCTATACATAGTGCCGTCAGATTCTAAAAGCGGCATTACGCCGTGCGGTACGGCCGTCAACCGCCAACACTAACTTGGTCTCCACCTCCACCCGGCACTGCCGTCAAACACCTCTAGAGTCTCTCTCCTACTCTTTCTCTAGTATAATCGCGGCAATACGCCGCGCGGTAATGCCGACAAACTTTTAACTCTTGATCAAAACGCGACCGTGCGTCGTGCGGTACTGCCGTCAAACTCCACCGCTCGGTCAAAGGCCGACTACCTGTAGCAAATGGGCAGACTCAACCTAGGCTACCAGTAATCCTCAAAAACTGATGCCAGTTTCGAAACTGATGATACGATGTGTGTGTAGCATGGTACTAGAAATAGTATTGTGCGTAATGTACTGCAGTGATTGGCGAGGTTTTGTGCCNCCGTCAAACTCCACCGCTCGGTCAAAGGCCGACTACCTGTAGCAAATGGGCAGACTCAACCTAGGCTACCAGTAATCCTCAAAAACTGATGCCAGTTTCGAAACTGATGATACGATGTGTGTGTAGCATGGTACTAGAAATAGTATTGTGCGTAATGTACTGCAGTGATTGGCGAGGTTTTGTGCCTTGTCTTCCTGACAGCCGTGCTGAGACCAACTTTCTCTCCCCGGCAACAGCGTGATCAACGTTTTATCGGGGCTCTTTTTGGTAGCTACTTTTTGAGCAGCAGGTTTAGCCTGATCAAAGATGCGTGATCAACGTTTTATCTGGACTCTCTTTGGGTAGCAGCTTCAACCTGATCAAAAACCTTCCATGTCTTGGTTGTGTCAGCGAGTACCAGAGACGTGAAGTCTCAGCGACGTGCAACATTGATTGGTACCTCCACCGTGTTGCAGATTAAAAATCCACAATAATGACGAAATTAATGCTGATTTCCGAATACTGTTGGACTATCGTTGTGTTGAGGTTGCTATTTGTTGTCAGATTCCGGTTCCAAGTTGTTAAGGTTTTGGCTCAGGATTGATTACCTCATGGTTCGAACAGGAAAAGCGGGTGTATTAGTATTTTGTGATCGAGGACTGATCAACCTCCGTTTCAGGATGATATTCAGCTATTTAGACTATTGAGTGGCAATGTCGCAGTGATCGGTAATTTCAGACAAACCATTCCACAAGTAGGGTCCGACGACTTGAAAGTGTGTTTCATTTGTTGCTTTTTCTGCTGCAGTGATTACTGTGCAGAACCGGCGGGAATGTTGGTAGTATGTGATTCTCCTCAGTAGTGCAGGTTTGTTCGGAACTAATCTGCCGCCATCTTCCCCTCCAAACGCGCGACCTGCTCTGCACCACCGCCGAGTCAATCCTCCGGGAGCGACAATTGCCCTTCCCCACTTCAGGCGGACGCAAACATCCAAGCTCGAGTCGCGGCCAGCCAGAAAAGATGAAAGGCGAAAGGCGACCGCGGCGAAGGTGTGCGAAATATCCGCTGGGGGGGGGCAGAAACAATGGCTTGGGCAATGGGTTAAGCGGTGGAGCTTGATGCGCGCAAAATGTGGGGTTTCGAGTGTTAACTGTTTTTGTATCGAATTGGAGGGTTTTCGAATGTTTTGTTTTGGTACTGGATTGGATTTTATGTTGGATTGGATTTTTGCGTCGGTATTGGATTGGTTTCTAGCATTCGGATTTGCGAACGTTGTTTCGGCATTGGATTTGCTTTGGGCTTGGTGTTTCGTCGGGATATATTTGCAGCAGGATTGTTTTTCTTGGATTTCGACTGGACAAACATTGAATGTTGTTCTTTTGGCCTGTGCTTCAGATCTCCGATCAGAGGGGCGGATTTCCCAGAGCAGGGGGGCATGCTGTTCTTTCGGAAGGAATTTACTGTAGCTGGTGCGAAGTTTCTAGAGAGAAACAATAGGAAAAATACTCGCGTATTTTCTGCTCAAATGACCTCAACGCTGAACGAATGTTTGGGGATGTAGACTATGTTGTTCGTAAAAGTGAGAGTAGAGGATTCATACCATGCCCAGAAGCGGTTTACCTGCGAAGTGGGCATGAAACGTGTACGATTGTTCTATGCGAAAGTTTGTTTTGTCTTGGTAGGATTCGTAGTCGGATGTATGTAATCGGACGCACAACGAAGAAGGCGATTTTCTACGAATTGATCCGTGTTTGGAAAGTAAATGATGATGAGGAGTTCCACAGATAGGTTTGGTTCAATGTATTGTTTAATGCTTTGAGTTGTGTGGAGGACATAAGTACTTTGCGGGTGTCGTTGCGGCGAAGTGCTGAGAAAGGATGGACCAGAACAAGAGCGTTTTGCAGAGAAGGAATGAAGGCGATGAGACAAGACGTCGTGGGTTCAGGAAAATTTGCATAATCGAGTGCTTGGTTACTTGTTTGTCATGGAGGAGTAGGATCCACGTTTTGGGTCGTACATGGAATTATTACAGTTTTTTTATTAAGTGGCCCGGTAGGGACGCTTGTTGTGAAAAAAAAAAAGCTGTTTAGAGGGGGGGGGGAAACGGGCTCAAGTAAGTCCGTCTGTCTGTGACCAGCCTCGATATATTACCCAGCAGATTCCAGCCCATTTCACCATCTCGGCACCAAATTGCAATCTAAGACGTGGTCACAACAAGTAATATTTTGCCCGAGCTGCCCCAACTGCTACCTTTTCAACCCGTGCTCAGTGCGTCGAGATAGTGCAGCGTCGGTACCCAACTTGAAGCAGGGAAGCTTCTGGTCCCTTGCAACACCGAGCGGAGGCGTCGTTTAATTTTGAGCCAAGACAGATAGCCTCGCACACCACACACCACACACACAGAGCCAGACATGGACAAACAGGGAGAGGGAGACACAGACCACAGCGAGGGCGAAACGGCGGGAGAAGGGTGTGCCATACACTGCTGCTGTTAGCTATCGGCGGAGGAAGCGAGAGGAGAGATTAACATTTGGTTGCAGCAGCAGCAGCAGCAGCAGCGGCCTCTCTCTCTCTCTTTCCGCGGAGAGGGGCACATGACACCAACAACACACAGACGCTGCTACGCACCACCATTGGTGCAACATGTACTGCTGTACGCCTCTCTACACTTTGTGCGCGAAGGCCTAGTGTGCAACCAGTGCCTCCCGTGCTAGCCTGGTTACCCATCACACGCTTGGTGTTGTTGTTGTCTTCACATTAAAAACCGTTCCGATCTCTCTGTACCCAGTACCTTCGTATGTCGATACAACACTCGACGCGGTCGATTCCCGTGGTCGCAGGCTAACTTACCCTAAAAAGGTACACTCAAATAACATGGCCCCTAGGGGTCCGCAAGTCAATAGAAATCAACGACAGATATTCTGGAGTCCTCCACTCCCTCTGCGCGCTATGCGAGGTAACAACTGAGACTAGGGGTCGCCATCACGGGCGGGAGAGAACGAGGTACACCCCCTTGGTTCAATATTGGTACTTCACAACGCAAGCAGAGACAAGGCCATCTGGCACAGAAAAAGAGAGAAAAAGAGAGAAAAAGATAAAAAGAGAGGGAAGTAAAAGGAAACAGTAAGGAAAGAGAAAAAGAAATAAAAGAGCGAGCACAAAAAGGGACGAGGCCGATTATAACAAGAAATAAGAGACAGAAAAAGGCACACGGTGAAGAGACCACTAACGACAAGCNGGGGGGGGGAATTGGCTGAAAGAAATTCAATCCGGCACGTATCACGCCACTCGGTCCGTCTCTTCTCGTTTGCTTTCTTCCCTCGCCGTCTCGTCCGTCTCCTGCCCCCCTCCCGCCCCATTGGTTGGTGGCTTGTGGTCTCGTTTGAGCGCCCGTTGTCGGCTGGCCTCTTCTTCCTTCTCGTGCCAGGAGGTCATGAACCTCTCAGCTCCCTGAAGCACCGCCGCATGCCAGGGTACTCCCCCCTCTACCGTCCACTTTGACGTCGGTGCCGTGTATTTCGGTACCGGGATTCCGAAACAACATGGATCGGTTTTCGTAGATCCGTGGTCGGCCCCGAATGCCTTCAGGTCGTCGAGCACACACTTCGGCCAGTTCTGTTCCTGTCCCCCCCTACGTCGCTTCTCCCCCCCTGCCAGTTCGCCGAACATCAGTCCTTTCGGGAGTCGCCCGTCCGGCTGCCTTGCCAATGCTCCCGCGAACAGTAGGCGTCGTTGTCGGATCGTGGCTTCAACGCTCTGGCATTCGACCCTCTTCAGCGTCTGGGCGTAAGAGAGGTGCCGGTAGGTGTCTTTCTTGCGCTTGTACCCGATAACTCGAAGGAGAAGTCGGTGGTGTATCGACCGCAGCGTCTGATAGTGGCCGCTGAGTGGTGGCCATGTCATGCAACCGTACAGCAGTGCCTCCATCGCCTCCGCCTGGAGCCGGTGGATCTTGAGTCGGAATGGCGCTTGCGGTCTGTCGAAGAG